GCCTCTTCCACTCTGGACTCTGGCCAGCAAGGCCATAATAAATAACCCCACCAGTGGAAAAAACACCTCATTTCATTCCATGAGTTTATAAATCAGTATGTTACTCAGTTATCCCCTGACTTCATCTAATATTTTTCTCCATCACTCCACCACTGGGGAGAGTGTCCTGCAGGAAAAACTCACATTCTAAAATGTGCATTTCATCTTCTTCCAATATGGAAAAGCAGGCTCAGCGGAGAGGGAAGGGTGAGCAGCCACCGCCAGCTTTCCGCCTGGACACAAGCCGTGGAAAGGATCCAGGAAGAATCTCGCTGGAAGATGACTTTATCAGGCCAGATCAGGAGTTCATGGCCGGCAGCTCCCACAGGAACTGGCTCCTTCTGCTTCACTGTCTGCTCCTCCTGTCTGGAGGAAGTTCTGAGACACAGCTCAGGTCAAAATATGAACCCCAACAGCCAGCTACACCCATGTACCTCGGTTTGCAAATCATTTGTCTCATTGAATCCACATATGACCCTCTACTATTGCCATCTGAAAAATGAAGAATATGGCATGTAACAGATGGGGAAGCAAACCCAGACTTCAAATTCACAGCTAGTAAGCAAACAAATCAGAACTATGTGTGTGCGTGTGTGTGTGTGTGTATTTTTAAATCCTCACCCAAGAACATGTTTTTATTGATTTGAAAGAGAGAGGAAGGGAGAGATCAAAAAACATCGATGCAAGAGAGAAATATAGATTGGTTGCCTCCCTTATGGGCACCCCACCTGGGGATAAAACCCCAAGCCTGGGTATGTACCCTGACTGGGAATCAAACCTGCCACCTCTTGGTGTATAAACAACGCTCCAACCAACTGAGCCTCTCCAGCAAGGGCTCAGATTTTTAAAAAATCACTGCCCTGCACTCCACTGTCTCCACACTTGTACATCATTGCCGTCCATGGCGCTATCCCCCAGGGCCTGCCGGAATTACCTCTTCAAGTCGCGGTGCAGTTTTACTCATCTGAAGGCAGATAGAGGCATGTGGTTAGTCCACAGGCAACACAGAGGGCGCGTTTTTTGGTAATCATCGTGCTCCTAATAATAAGAAAGGCAGTTTCTCCAAACAAGGAACTTCAAAGGGCAACTAGCAACACCCTCTCTGTGTGCTGGGGCCCCCTCCTAGGATTGCGCGGAGCCAGCACCTGGCCAGCCCACTACTGACACCTTGTGGCCAAAAAACAGTTCCTGCCCATTTCCTATCAGAATCGCACCAAGAAAGGAGGCCGAATGCCAAGAACCAGCCAGATGTCCTTTTCTGTTCTTCCCAGGTGTCCCTCGCTGCCTCCTCCCCTGAACTCGCAGTTCCAGGGCTGCTTAGAGGCTGGTGTAACCCTCAGTGGGTGGCTGCAGGGCTTCCTGAGGGCCTGGGCTGCCCAGCTCCTGCCAAGCCAAGGTGATGGTCACAGGGCCCTCTAGGTGGCACCTGCTGCCCAAAGCAGTAACAGGCACTCATGGCACTCGCCAAACAACTGACAGATGAAACAAGGATTTGCTCATAAAAATAGGCATGAACCAGACACCTGAACACTGGGTCCACTCTGGGGCTCTGTGTCCGCTGCTGTAAGCATCAGAAGGCGGGCAGAGGACACCCTGCTGGAAACAGAGCTTGTGGCAACCAGCCCCTTGTGACAGTCAGCCTTTGAGGCAAATTGCAATTTAGAGGCAGAAATCATCAAGAGACTTGTTCTGATGTCAGCAAGAAAACACTTCAAGTTCTCAGGAGTCACTACTATTAATAGGAGAGGGGTGCTTCTGTTATTTACACAGGCACCCTTTTAGTAGAGGCATCTAGACATGGAGAGTCTTGTCACTGCCTTAAGATGTTGTGCCCAATGATTCTAATTCAAGGTATTTTTAATATGCCGAACAGTCATAATCAGTGTGGCTATAATTCACTTGACAAGAATGAAAGACGGTTCTATCTCAAAGCAGGTCATTTAATGTCTAGTCCTGTTTCCCCACCCATAAAATGAAGTTTGAACAAATCTGTAGTTTTTTTTTTTTTTTTTTTTTTTTTTGGTACGTGCCCCTAGCGGGAACCGAACCCAAGACTCTCTGCTCCTCAGGCCGACGCTCCAACTGCTGAGCCAAAACGGCCAGGGCTAATCTGTAGTTCTTTAAGTGGTCTGTGAACACAGGTGCATCAGAATCACATGATCTTATTAAAAATCCGGATTTCAAACCCGCTGGTCTGGGGTCTGGGGACCTGCGTTCAGGTAATGCTTATGCGCACATGTGTGAGAATCTGAGAATCACTGAACAAGGTGATGTGGTGTCTGAGATTTATCGGGACTTGTTGTGCACCCTGCATTGACAAGAGAAGGTTTTTTTCCCTCAGAGAGCCTACGGACCTTTTGGAAATATAGACAAATGAACAAAAGATATAGCAAATGACAACAGAGGCTGTGGGAGAAAGGAGGAGACAGTGGGTACCTACCTGAGGGCATCCTCCCTGAAGGTTTCACAGGGTAGGTGACGCTGGAGGTGTCTGGACAGATGGGTGCACCAGGTGCTCAAAGACTACTGCTGATGGAGGTCAGGAGGGGCACTGCAGACCTCGAGAGCAGCATGTGACCTCCCCCCCCCCCCACTGACCCAGGGCTGGGACTGTCAGAGATGGGAAGCCCCACCCCTACCGTGAAGCCAGCATCTGTAAGAGGAGAGGAATACACTAAGGATTAGCCTGCCGTTTTCATTTGATCCAAAAATGGATCCAAAGCTCTAGTAATCTCATCCTCTCCTTCCAAAGCAGAAGGGTCAGGTGCTCACAGAGGCAATGCCCAAGGGCAGGGCCCGGTTCTATATCCATCACAGCACACGGGACACGGCCCAGGGAGTGCCCACGAAAGCCAGTCTAAGATTTCATGTCAGCAAATTACTTTCTTAATAAAGGACATTTTAAAAAATAATAATTCTTACCTTTTTAATATCTCTTTCCCTTTCCCTCCTTTTTTCCTGTCAATTTCCTTGAATAATATTTAAAACTGTTTACTTTCTGTAGCTTTTGGAAAGATGTACCAAAAATTTTAAAAAAACAAAAACAGAAAAACACCCTTTAGTTATCTACTACATGGGATCTGATCCATGTTCTTAAATTTACCCTCTGTCCCTCAGCCCGGGTTATGCCAGGCCTTCTTACCCAGATGGCCCTCGTCCTGGTCCCTCCACGCGGTGGCCTTGTGCACACCCTGACAGGAAGCAAAGCGCCATCCCATTACTGCGAGCACTGTGCCGGAGGCTGCTCCGCTCACCAGAGCTGATTCTAAATTTTCAGGAATTTTTCAAGCCAGTTGTTAAATATAGACATTATTTAAAATGAAATTATATACACTACAATTAAATAAATTACATTGAAAAGCAAAGGTAATGCTCAAAACCCATCACTTCCCCATTATTTTACCACATTATACTATGCTCTTGAGGTTATTTCCAGCTACTACCTCTGAACAGTGGAAATACTATATAACCATGTGCCACCGCACATGTCTTGCTAACTCCGACTTCAGTGACATTGATCATGGTGCAAATATTTACACCATGGAAATCAGCATATGCTAGAAATTAGGACTTGATGTTTTGTTGATTATCTAGACTTCAGGGAGTAATGGAAAATTTAATAATAAGAATTTAACTTAAAAGTATGTCATATCTATGGCTGTTACATTGCAAAGAGCACAAAAATTTGAGGAAATATCTTCCCATATTTGAAAACTAATATCTGATTTGGAAAAGAAGTCACCTGTGTCATTGATGACAAGCACTGCTCCAACCTATGTCTGTGTGGTCTCCCTTTTGTCTTCCATGTTGACACACAAGGAAATGTCCCGAGCTTCCAAGTCCTGAGACTGGGTTGTGCATAGTTTAATTGTGATACACTAATAATTATATTTTAAATAATTACTATGCAGGTTTAAACTTTTTTAATGATCAAAACTTGAAAAGCAGTGTTTCTTTAATCAAAAAAATTTTGAACACTCATTGAGCAATTGCAACCAGGTACAGGTACAAGAATTCAGCAAAAATCAACAAAATCATCTGGGAGAATCAATTGGCGCTATGAAATTTATAGCAAAGAATGCTATTTAATACAACTCGTATTCATCAGGGCAGCAAAAGCTTTCGTTGGTTTTCATTGCCTTGGTGGCTACCGCAAGGAGCACTAGATTGAGAGTCTGTGAAACCAGGTTCTCATCTTGCTACTGCCACTCACGAACCACCTGCCAGTGGACCTGTCTAGCCTATAGCTAGCCTAGACCAGCTACCTGTCTGTATCTCCATTCCCTATGTGCAAACCGAGTGCACTGAACAACATGAGCAGTCAAGTCCATTCCAGCTCTAAACTGTTATGATTTATAACCACGTGAGAAAGGGATTCTGAAGTTGCAGGACCGTAATCCAGGAGATTTGAGTAGTGCAAACGTACCAACCTACGGATTCCCAACTCGACACTTGAGTGCCAGCGTCATCTGTGAGGTCACAGAGGTGTTTCAAATGCCTCCATGAGTTTGTTATTATATTTTCAATAGAAATGACATGAAATCCAGCCAAAGGGAAGGAGAGAAACTGTACCGATAAAGAAGGCCTTTCAAGACCTGTCAGTCAGAGAGGAAAGAGCAGACTTGTGCCTGTGGGTGAGACAGCGGCACTAGGTCTGCTCCTGGGCCGGCCACCTCTGTCCTCACCCCCTCCCCCCGCCCCGCCCCCACCTAGCACATGCAGGTTCCTCGGTGCCCGAGTGATGGCCCACAAAATATAATCATTAAATAGAGAGCCCTTGAGAGCTCACGCGGTGCCTGTGCAGCCTTCGGAGTGCTGGGCAGGAAAAGGTTAAGCAGGCACCGTCCTGAGCCCGGGCAGCCACAGGCAGGGGCGGGGCTCTGGTTAATAACACTGCGCAGGAAGTGAGGGCCTCCTTCCCTCTGCCCAATGGGAAAATCCATTTTCAATTCTGACCTCAATGAGGAAGTGACTGTTCCTGCCGAAAGGAGCGGGGTGCAGCCTTCCCCAGCTCCGCGCACGGCAGGAGCAGAAGACAGGCAGTGAGGAGAAACAGCACCGAGGGCAGAGCAACTCCGGGAGGACAGAGCAGGAGGATGGAGGCGACATCCTCAGTAGGACAGTGGTGAGACAACTTTTAAACACACCCACGGAGATGAGAACAGGGCCGGGGGACAGGGAACTGCTACTTGATGAGCATCAGGAGTAGAAGGAGACATAGAAGATTGTCAGCAGAACCTAGAAGAGTCTAGACACTTTAGACCACATCACCTGGAGGTTCCTTAGCAAAAAGTAACTCGATGGCACATCAGAAGTCCACTGGATATATTTTATTATAGTGTCTATTTTAAAACTAAGATATAATTTTAAGAACATACATAGTTCTTTTATTTTTATTTTTTATCCTCACCTGAGGACATCTTTTGTATTTATCCTCAGATAGAGCGGGAGGGAGAAAGGGAGGAAGAGAGAGAGAGAAACATCGATGTGAGAAAGATACATCGAGTGGCTGCCACCCATACAACGCCAACCGGGGTGGGGACAGACCGCAACTGAGGTGCCCTTAGCGGGAACCGAACCCGGGACTATCTGGTCCGCAGACCCCACACTCCAACCGCTGAGCCAAACCGGCCAGGGCAAGAACATACATAGTTCTTATCCCTTTTTTCTGTCCTTATAAAAGCCTAAGTGTTTACAGTCCGAAACCTTTCTAGACATTATTTCAGATTGACAGCTGGCCCAGGAGGATCCTGACCGTATGGCTGAAGTTCAGGATCTGGAGCTTAGGGCGAGAAGAACCCGGTGAGCAGCCTTGCCCCCTCGCACTGCGTGGAATGAGCTCTCCGGGGCGTCTGTGTCCATTGAGGTGTGTGACACATTTACATGTTCACACAGTTGACCAGTGGAAGGTCCAACCAGGAAAACAGAAAGCACCTTGGACATCTACGTGCAAGGGAATTCAAGGAAGGGGCCTGGCGACAAGGTGATGGTAAGCTGAGAAGTTGGACGGGGGACCATGAGGTAACCCTGAAGCTGAAGGGGCCAAGGGAGGTCATTCTGGGAGCTGCAGTGCCGAGGGGAAACTTTTCAGTGGGACCTGGAGACGCGGCAGAGAGGACGGTGCTGCTGGAGAAGCTCCTGAGGCCGAGGGAAGGAAACATCTCCCAAGTTCCCGTTGGCTGAGCTGAGCCAGGGTCAGGGCCCCCGCCTCCAGGGCAGATCGGGGAAAGTTAAGGAATGGGTCTGAGAAAAAGCAAGCCCAGAGTTAGCACATATACTCTCACTTAATCCTGGAAATGACCCCAAGTGTAAGTAATATAATCTTCGTATCTCTGATGAGAAATCAAGCCTCAGAGACATTAAAAACCAGCACACCCAACAGCACACTAAAGAAAATGGTGGAGCTGAGATGGACACTTAGACCTTCCATCTGTACACCCACACTCCGTCCATTCTCCTTATTTGGTCCTGGGGTGGCGGGGGGCGGGGGGGGGCAGTGACATCTACCGAGCCCCATGGCACTTACAAGCTACCAATGGTAGTGGTCCTTACGCTTCTGCTCATTCCGGTGCCAGCAGCTGCAGTCGGGGCACACATGGTGCTCTGGCACGAGCAGAGGCCGCTGTGGGCCAGGACCGCCAGCCAGTGGACTCATGGAGGGTCTTGCCCAACTGCCCTGAGCCTCCACAAACAGCCTCTGTATGCTCATGAGAGGGCAGAGCCATGGGCCAATCAGAGGCCCTGCCAGCTAATTATCTAGCCCTCTGCCTGCTCCCCGGAAGCCCCGGCCCGGCTGGACGGGCAGACTGTGCGTCTGATGTCAGATGGCCTGGTTCCACCTCTCAGTGGGGCTGGTATTTGGTTGATCCTTCAGGCTCCCATTTGGTTCATAAAACACAAACATCTGCTGGGGTTCTGGTTGGCCTGTGGCAGACTTCAGAGTGGAGAGGGATGGAGACAGGGGAGAGAAGGGAGCTGGGGGAAGGGAAGACGAGCAGGCTTTCCAGGGGGGTTCATTAGGTACTGTGTGATGGGGGAGGCTTTATCAAGCCAGAGCCCTGATCAGCCCCCCAAAGAAGGGAAAGGCAAAAGAGAAGATGAACTCTCATGGGGTTTCCTTGGGAAGCCCAAAGTGAGTCTGTGGCTGCTTTTCCTCCATTGCTCTGCTTCCTCCAACTGTTCCTTTTCTCACCAGTTGGCTATTATTTTCTAGCGCATCTTGATAATTACTTTATCAATCAAGAAAGATAAACAAAAGACTAAAAATACATCTGAGTGAATGAGTTTCCAGAGCCCACCAATCTTCAGTACTGATTTCTGTGTGTGTTTTTTTTGCAGATGTACTTGAGAGACAGTGGAAGGGCTCGGCTCCCCGTTCACCGGTGGTTCAGGAGAGCAGACGCTCCCACCTCCGCCCGCCTGGCGCTCAGTTGTGGGGCCAAAGGCAGTCAGTGAGTTGGGGAAATGCTATCCAAGCAAAATAAACACCCTGAAAAGATTCGCCTGCAGTCTTATCCTTATTAGAATGACTCTTTGCCTTTATTTGCTTATTAAATCAACAAAGTATTGGGTCAAGAGTTGAGAGAGCATTTCATGAGCCACCTATAATAAAAATAAAATGTAGGGAGTTTGTGTCATTGCAACTGTTTTGAAAGAAAACTGCCAGTTATTCACTGAATAGAGCTTGTACTTCGGAAGCCAACACGTTGGCTAGATGTGCCCTGTGAGTGACTGGACATGAACACAGCCCATTAGCCCCGACGGTATCTCACCGCGTGGCCCAGCCCAGCCTGGCTTATTACAAGCTCTGGGGAGAAGCCAGCGAGCACTACAGTGGGGAAGAGGCATTACCTCCACTTCTGTTTCAGCCCTAAATCCACAATTTCTAAATAAAAAAGTCATTGAGGTAAACAGCCCTAGTGACCAATAGTAAAGGCATGCCCCAGTGACATGCCCCACCCCCACTCTTTCCCTCCCCAGTTTCCTCTTCCCAAAGTAACAGTGTCCTCTGCCAGGAGGGGTCTGGGTTTTCTTTCCTACCACGAACAGCACAGAACTAACGTATTCAGTGACTACTGTCGACAATCCATAGCAGGTACTACAGGGCTATCAGACCTGAAGGAAACCATCCAATTTACAGCTGCTCACGTAAAAGCCATCAGGAGAATCATGAAATGATTCTCCATATGGTGCCCTGAAGCTTCCAAAAACTATACGAGAAAGGGGCTTGGAAGGAATTCTTCCCATTTCAGAGACGAGGAAGGTGGGAGCCAAGCATCTGTGGCAACCTGGAAGAGGCACTCCTCCCTGACACCCCCCCACCCCGTGCCCCCAGGGGTGGCTCCCAGGGTCACCCATCTTGGCTTGTTCGGCTTCTCCATTTCAAGCTTATGTTTTCTAGTATAAATGAACTCCACAGTTCCATTGTGTGGAAGCTTCAGGACACGGTTTGCCAAATGGAAAAACATTTGGAGGTTGGGAAAATATCTTGCACATAAATTACCGAAGGCACAGAGAATCTAAGAGGGAGGAGATCAGAAGCCAAGGAAAAGCAGGGAGGGTGCCAAAGTAAAAATGGAGAGAGCGACAGAGACAGGGAAAGCGATGTAATGATTTCTCTTAATGACCTGCCTTCAGACCAAAAGGCGAGTTTCTGAGCTGTGTTTGAGCCTCAGAAAAGCCACGAGCCCGAGTATCGGGAAATAACCTCTAAATGGCGAGATCAAGCCCCCATTTTTCATCTTTTCTGAGTAGAGCTCTTCATTGATTACATTAAGTGCTAGCCACCGGTCAGAAACACAAGAAAGCTCATTGTCTTGGACTGTGGCAAAGGCCAGTAACATACTTGTTAATTTCCTGATTTATGACACTGAGGAGATGGGACTAAGGGCGGTGCTTCCTCTCTCTCTTTCCTCCTCTCTCTCTCTCTTTGTCTCTCTCTTGCGCTGTGTCTTTTGGTGGTGGTGGTGGTGGTGGTGGTGGAAACTATTAAAACAGAGGCAGATCAGGAAGTTTGTGATAAAGAGAAGCCAGGCTCTCGTCTGACATACAATCTCTCTCCTGGCTTAAGTAAACTTGCTCCTTCAAGGCCTGCCATCAACAGAGTCGGGCTCACGTTTCACCACTAAATCTGAGTCAACAATCTCTAATCTGGACACTGGGTTCGGAATCCAGGCTCAGGTTGCACTTGGAAGCTGACAGCAGGGACGAGAGCAGAGAAAAATACGGCCTTTGTTTGTGGTTTGATCGTCCCCACCGAGCTGCGCCGAGGTCATGTGTCGTTTTCTGTCATCAACAAGATAAAAGTTTGCACCTCTCTGGCCCTGAAATGGCTCTCCTGCCATTTATGTTAAGGCCGAGCAGCTCTCGCCCCGGGATTGGAGGGCCAAGTTTGCGGAGAGCTTAGATTTGGAGGCTTTTCATCTCTCTGACATACGATACCGTGACATAGGCAGCCCTCGCTGGGTTGCTATGCAGATATACAATTTCTGAAAAGTTACACCCGGAAAACGAAAACCCCGGGCTGGATTAGCATTTCACAAAGAACAGGGATAAAATGTGTAGCAGTTAGGCTAAAAAGCTAGAAAAAAAAAGTGAATTAAAGTTTCATGAAAACAAACTCTTTTTTAAAGGATCAATAAGTATAAAAGTATCTTATTGCATTCCTGGCCTTTGGTTCTGAGCTCTAATCCAGCTACTGTATGTGAAGGGGAGTCTGCGAGCCAAGTGGTGGAGACTGGGGACAGAGGTCTGAGTGCAGCCCGGGGCTTAGGGTGCTGGGGAAGGTGAAATGGGAAGGGTTTCTGTTGGGCGCTGTTGTCTTAGAAAACTCTTCTTTCTTTCTACCTGTAATTGTTTTCATTGTTTTTATTTTGTGATAATCTTTCCCGTTTGTTTAAATAAACCTCGAAAGGAGAAAAATATTACCCCATAGTCTAAAGGTTCTGGCTAAATAAGTTTCAGCATCTCCTCTCCCTTTCTTAACCAAGGTCAAAGGGCATGCTCTCCAGAGCTCACTCAAACACCAGCCTTTTCTGAACAAATCTTTTTTCAAGTGTTTCCAACACCAGGAATTATCTTATATGGACCATGTCAATGGAATGTGATATTTGCTTGTGAAGTAGGAAAAGGGGAGCGACTAGGGGTTCTCCTTGTTATCCCGACACCACTGCCTTCCAGCTGAGACTGTGTGCTTCTCCTCGGGTGCCCTTCCTGGGCTGGCCTTGTCCACACAGCTGGGGAGGTCATGGCCCCTCCCCTGCTGCTCAGACACCAGGGCTTCCCACCAGCCCCAACTGCAGAACCTCTGGAGGGAAGCCCAGAGCAGGAAACAGGAAAGGGGGTTTTGAAGACGCAGAGGGTGTGGAGGAGATTTGAGGGTCGCAACTGACCCTGCTCGTGCAGTGGGCGGAGGCCAGCACCACACACCAAACAGCTCAGACCTTCACGTGGAGTTAGTGCTGTGAAATGCAAAGGCGGCTCAGCCCTGCTCCCTGCTCCCAGGCTCTCAGAGGAAAGCAGGTGAGTGGAAATACGTCAAGAGCCCTGGAGCGAGTCCCCTTGAGCATTCCCGTTTGGTGGATTACGAGGCTGACAGTGTTTGCAAAGAAGAGCGCGTATTCTGGACAGACATTTATTGGAGGCTAGGCAAAGAAGATATGGGCAACTGAACTTTTCTGTAACTCAAGGGGACCACTTCTGTGCTCCTCTGTCACTTCCGAGATAAGATGACATATGTGAAAGTGACTGGTGTACAATTTGGCCGTGCACGCAGGCGTCCATCCATCCACAAGAGGGAGGCTGGAATGTAGTGTACTTGTTAAGTGTAGGCTCTGTATCAGATTGCCCACATGCAGTTCCAGGCTCTGTCACTTACTTAGCCTCTGTGTGCTCAGTTTCCTCATCTGTAAAATGGGAATAATAACAGTAACTATCTGGTAGGGTTGTTGCAAGACATAAGTAAAATAATGCAACCAAATACCACTTAGTACGCACTGGATCAACGTCTTGACGATGAGCCGTGGTGTTCATTCCGACCTGGGGGGGTTTGTTGTCGGGTTGGCCGACCCTGCACGTGAGGGAAACTGAAGAAAGAGAACGCAATCCATTCTTTGAGCTCTGGAGGTAGGCTGCAATGACATCATCAGGTATGTGTCCCTTTGGCTGATTCAGATTCGAATTGAGTTAGGACCTAAACTGACGCGGGTTATTTCTGCAGCCGTGGCCCGGGCGGATTACTGCGCGTGGGCAGAGCCTTCGGCTCTCGGCTGCTACCGATGGGCTGGGTGACCCCAGCCGATCACTTCCCGGACTGTCTTTCCCTCGTCCCGAAACGAAGCCTGCGTCGCCTCTGGTTTTGTGAGACTTGCTGGAGGGAGGCTGCGTGACTGCCTCTTTTGTGGTGTCTGACATGGAGCTTGTCCACATTGCATTTGTTTGGTCAGCTAGTCAGCCAGGGATCCAGTGGCTTAGCCCAAAGGCAGCTGTGAGGTTTCGGGCCCTGCACTCTGGGCAAAGTGACGCAGCCCTGTGTGGTGCCCAAAGCCCCCCACTGCCCTCGACATCTCCCCGCCCAGCTGCAGCTCAAACACTCCAACATCAGGAAGTGGGAACAGCCCCTGGCCCACGTGTCCCGGGAAACCACGTGGGTGCCAAGGTGCCTCTCCCTTTTCTTTCCTCTCCGAGCTGCTGGCACCCACCTCCCCTCCCTCAGACTTCACCCACAGACACATCAATAGCGGTGTTGTTGATGTTGTCAAAACCAGGTGTGAGGAGAGGTTAGCAGTAGATCTCTTTTCTCCCCAAACACAATATACAGAAAGGTTAAAGATCGCTCACTGTCATGGTTTAGGCCCCAAGTAAATGACCTGGATCTGCAGCCTGGCCACCAGGCTTCCCGGGCCCAGTGAGCAGCCCAGCAGCTAGGGAGTGTGGACGCTGAGCCACTGCCGGCATCTGCCTCTTCCTGTTCATGGCACCGTGGACAGAAACCCTGTCATCCTCATGCCTCCGTTTCTTGGGCTGTGAAATGGGAATGATGATAATATTAGCACCTCCCTCACAGAGCTGTGGTATCATTAAGTAAGTGAATGTGTGCAGAACCTGTACATGGGCCGTGCACAGAGTAAGCACGCGATGGATGTAAGCTGTTTCCTAGCTCAGTGGAGGTCCCGCCTTTCTCTGGAATTACAAGGCTGGTGGCAAGTGTTCCTTCTACCCACAGTCAAGGCAGAACATGAGGCCCTTTCTGGGTACTGAAGACTAACTTTCCACCTATATATGTGTCTAAGGGTCAAAAAATTATTTAATTTCCAAGGCTGTCCCGAGTGGAGAGTGTAGGAGTCCGTGGCCTGGAGTCACTGCACAGTGCAGACACTCCAGGGGGTCTTGGCCCCTTCAGGGGAGGCTCACGGGCTGGGCCCGGGGGCTCTGCACCTTTCTCCCTGGAGCCCCGGAGCAGAAGGAAACCCCGCAGTCTTTCTGTTCGCCGCACAATTG